GTATAGGCCTGCGAGTTCGGGTTCTCGGGTCGGGTCGGGTCGGAAAATTTGGGTTTCGGGTTAATTGTAAAATTTTAAATGTTGCCGAAGATAACCGAAACTGATTTCGGTTCGGTCGGTTCGGAAATCGGTTATTTCGGTTTTTCAAAATTTAACCGATTTAAACCGAAATGCAACCAAAAATCACCATTTCTACTTATATCTACATGCTATTATCATCAATTCATCAATATGCAATCAAACAAACAAAAATCATAAGAAATATAATATCATCATTCATCACCATTGATCAAACAACATCCAAAAGGCATTACCAAAGTTCAAAAGTAAACAAACAACATTCATATTTCATAAGTTCAAAAGACATAATATAGAGTTAAGAGTTAAAGAGAGAGAGAGAGAGAGACAAGTTTGGGTACACATGGTGATGATGGTCCAAAAAGACAGAGCCCTTCAAGTGATCACGGCGGCAAGTCTGCATCATCAGCCACTGTTTTGGATCCTGCAACTGAAAAAAATGAAGTAAGTCAATAAGATATGAAGTAAAATTAGTAAATCATAGAAAGACTATAAGAAACAAGAAATTTGAGTACCCAAGGACTCATGGAAATCCAATTCTTCTAGCATTTGAACCAAATTTGCAAGCTTCTCTTGATGAATGTTATTCCTCAACCATTGTTGTGTGCAAATGAGAGATTCAACCATGTGAGGGGAAAGACAACTCCGGAAAGGATCCAAAATCCTTCCACTTGTACTGAATGCCGACTCTGAAGCCACAGAAGACACTTGAATGGCAAGGACATCTTTCACAAATTCTGACAAGACTGGAAACTTATGGCTGTTGCGTCTCCACCATGATAAGACATCATAGTCCATACCCAATCTGTTTTTTTGCCTTGGCACAGCCTTTTCCAACAAGTAAATGTCAAGCTCACTGGTGGCTACATCATTCACTGTCTCTGTAACCATCTCATCATACAATGAATCCCTACTTTCTAATTCATCATCCTCCTCAAAAAGCGGTGCCAAATCATCGACTTCTCCACTCTTGTTTCCTGTACTTTCAGCTTGAGAGTTGTTACATAATCTCTGCACATACTCTTCAAACAAGTTCTTCATCAACTTCTTAATGGAGCTTTTCAGATGGTCACTCTCCAAACTATCCTTCCCATAAAGCTTGTCAAAGCAGATATTAGCAAACTGCATCTTGTTCCTAGGATCAAACACACTAGCAATGATCACTAGTGGATTCATATTGATCAGTCCATCCCAATACTTCTCAAGTTTGGCCCTCATATCCATTGCTTCAAGCCGCAACTCTTGATCATCATTGATGCTCAAATTAATCAAACTTCTTTCAATAAGCACTATCTCATGGTAACAGATTGTAGAAGTAACTGTCTTAGTGGCTGAAAAAGCCAAGGTGCAGTTGAAAAAGATCTTTAAGAACTTGACTAACCTTTGCACATCATCCCAGCCTTTTGAAGTAGGAGGTCTAACCCTTTTCTTTGCACCCTCTGGTCCACTCTCTCCATTCTCTTCTTCTGATTCCTGGAAGTAGTCATTATAGAGCTTGTCTTCTGCGAGTAACTTCTCAAATGCAACTCTAAATTTCAAAGCATTTGTTAGCATGAGATATGTGCTGTTCCACCTTGTGACACAGTCTAAAGACAAGCTTCCTCTACCCCACTTACCTGTCTCAACCCTCAACTTAAATGATTTCAACCTATCACCTGATGATCTTACATACCTAATTGCATTCCTAATGGCTACAAAGCTTTCATTTACCTTTGCTAGACCATCTCTGACTATCAAGTTCAGTATATGTGCACAGCAACGCATATGGATTAATGAACCGTCTCTAACTAATGCATTAGGCCCCAGTGACCTACAAGCATCTGTGAACAACTTAATTGCTTTGTCATTCCCTTTAGCATTATCTACTGTGATAGTGAATACCTTTTTAATTCCCCATTCCTCTAGACATGCTCTAAGATGATCAGCAATGGTGTCTCCTTTATGATCTGTCACAGGCTTGAACCAGATAATCCTTTTCTGCAAATCCCAGCCCCTGTCAATCCAATGAGCAGTGATCACCATGTAGCTGCAAGCAGTTGTAGGAGCAACCCAAATATCAGTCGTCAAAGACACTCTCTGCTGTTCACAGCTAAACAGACTCTTCAATTTAGCTGTTTCACTAAGAAACATCTTAAAGACGTCTTCAGTTGCTGTCCTCCTACAGTGAACCGTGTACAATGGAAGCATATTTGCACAGAATCTCCTAAATCCTTCAGACTCCACAAATGCAAATGGTAACTCACACAAAACAAGCAACTCATTCACTGACCTCCTAAAAAGCGCTTTATCATAAGGAACTGTAGTGATTGCACCCCTCATATCACCAGCCAACACCTTCTGAGTACCAAGATCTTGATGTGCCTTGAAAAACTTGCATCTTAGCAGATGACTCTTCATGGAACTTGTCCCATGTAACTTAGTATCACAGCCAATCTGTTGGGAACAATACCGACACCTAGCTACACCTACAAGATCTTCCTTCTCAATATAATGCTGCCAAACTTCACCTCTATGCGCTTGCTTTTTCTTTGCTTTCTTCGGCTTTGGAACATCACTGCTTGATCTCTCTGTCGTGGGTCTTCTTCTCCTTCCCGCAGAAGATTCTGTAGCAGTAGTACCATCAGCTTCCTCACCCAAAAAAGCATCGTTGTTGTCTTTAGTTTCCGACATCTACATAGAAGAGAATAAGGTTTGAGTCTTTGAAAGTTTGAATTGAAACAAGCAGAATACCTAGACAGACACAACCGGAAATGATAAATTGAGCAATAACATCGATTCGTAAAAGCCCCAAACCCAAAGACTGAAACCCTAAATCCCAAATCGAAATCGACACTTAAACAGAGAGAATAGAGGATTTCGAACTCACCTTATACCAAATCGGAGGACGAACAAGGAAGAATCACTGATAATCAGACGAGGAAGACAAGATTCAGTCGTCGGAAGTGAAAATCGAGAGTGAGGCTCGAGGAAGTGAAAGAGATGAAATGAGATTAGGTTAGGTTTAATTTTTTGCTTTTATAGTTAGGTTTAATTTTCGGTATTCGTCGGTAACCGATCGGAATATCCGAACCGAACCGACCGAATAGAAAACCGAAGTCCTAATTTCATCTATTCCGATCGGTATATCTCCCATACCCGATGCTTGCCGAATTTCGTTTCTTCGGGTTCGGTCGGGTCGGAAAATTCGGGTCGGGTTTTTATCCCAGGCCTAATTGGGTATAAGAACTAGAACCGCAACAGGATCCCGTAAACTAAAGTAGTGTTTTTCCGTTTAGAAGCTCCAAAACCGAAAACTCATAAGACTTTGGCCACACCCACAAATATTTGAGAAGCAATAAGAAGCTTGGTTAGTGTTTTTGGAGTGAAATATGACTAGATCTCGTGTTTATGATTGGGTATAAGAACTAGAACCTGAACCGGATCCCAAAAGCCAAAGTAGTGTTTTTCCGTTTAGAAGCTCCAAAACCCAAAACTCATAAGACTTCGGCCACACCCACAAATATTTGAGAAGCAATAAGAATCTTCGTTAGTGTTTTTGGAGTGAAATATGACTAGATCTCGTGTTTATGATTGGGTATAAGAACTAGTACCGCAACCGGATCCCAAAAGCTAAAGTAGTGTTTTTCCGTTTAGAAGCTCCAAAACCAAAAACTCATAGGACTTCGGCCACACCAACAAAGATTTGAGAAGCAATAAGAAGCTTGGTTAGTGTTTTTGGGTCAAATATGACTAGATCTCGTTTGTATGATTGAGTATAAGAACTAAAACCGCAATCGGATCCCGTAAGTTAAAGTAGTGTTTCCATTTAGAAGCTCCAAAACCGAAAACTCATAGGACTTCAGCCACACCCACACATATTTGAGAAGCAATAAGAAGCTTCGTTAGTGTTTTTGGAGTGAAATATGACTAGATCTCGTGTTTATGATTGGCTATAGGAACTAGAACCGCAACCGGATCCCAAAAGCTAAAGTAGTGTTTTTCCGTTTAGAAGCTCTAAAACCGAAAACCCATAGGACTTCGACCACACCCACAAAGATTTGAGAAGAAATAAGAAGCTTGGTTAGTGTTTTTGGAGTCAAATATGACTTGATCTCGTGTTTATGTTTGGGTATAAGAACTAGAACAGCAACCGGATCCCAAAAGCTAAAGTAGTGTTTTTCCCTTTAGAAGCTCCAAAACCGAAAACTCATAAAACTTTGGCCACACCCACAAAGATTTCAGAAGCAATAAGAAGCTTGGTTAATGTTTTTGGAGTCAAATATGACTAGATCTCGTGTTTATGATTGGGTATAAGAACTAGAACCGCAACCGGATCCCGTAAACTAAAGTAGTGTTTTCTATTTAGAAGCTCCAAAACCGAAAACTCATAAGACTTCAGCTACACCCAAACATATTTGAGAAGCAATAAGAAGCTTGGTTAGTGTTTTTGGAGTGAAATATGACTAGATCTCGTGTTTATGATTGGGTATAAGAACTAGAACCGCAACCGGATCCAAAAAGCTAAAGTTGTGTTTTTCCATTTAGAATCTCCAAAACCGGAAACTTATAAAACTTTGGCCACACCCACAAAGATTTGAGAATCAATAAGAAGCTTGGTTAGTCTTTTTATAGTGAAATATGACTAGATCTCGTGTTTATTATTGGGTATAAGAACTGGAACCGCAACCGGATCCCGTAAACTAAAGTAGTGTTTTTCCGTTTTAAAACTCCAAAACCGAAAACTCATAAGACTTTGGCCACACCCACAAATATTTGAGAAGCAATAAGAAGCTTGGTTAGTGTTTTTGGAGTGAAATATGACTAGATCTCGTGTTTATGATTGGGTATAAGAACTAGAACTGCAACCGGATCCCAAAAGCTAAAGTAGTGTTTTTCCATTTAGAAGCTCCAAAACCGAAAACTCGTAGGACTTTGGCCACACCCACAAAGATTTGAGAAGCAATAAGAAGCTTGGTTAGTATTTTTGGAGTAAAATATGACTAGATCTCGTTTGTATGATCGGGTATAAGAACTAGAACAGCAACCGAATCCCGTAAGTTAAAGTAGTGTTTTTTCGTTTTGAAGCTCCAAAACCGAAAACTTATAGGACTTCGGCCACACCCACTAAGATTGGAGAAGCAATAAGAAGCTTGGTTAGTGTTTTTGGAGTCAAATATGACCAGATCTCGTGTTTATGATTGGGTATAAGAACTAGAACCGGAACCGGATCCCAAAAGCTAAAGTAGTTTTTTTCCGTTTAGAAGCTCCAAAACCGAAAACTCATAAAATTTTGGCCACACCCACAAAGATTTGAGAAGCAATAAGAAGCTTGGTTAGTGTTTTCAGAGTCAAATATGATTAGATCTCGTGTTTATGATTGGGTATAAGAACTAGAACCGCATTAGGATCCCGTAAACTAAAGTAGTGTTTTTCCGTTTAGAAGCTCCAAAACCGAAAACTCATAAGACTTTGGCCACACCCACAAAGATTTGAGAAGCAATAAGAAGCTTGGTTAGTGTTTTTGGAGTGAAATATGACTAGATCTCGTGTGTATGATTGGGTATAAGACCTAGAACCTGAACCGGATCCCAAAAGCCAAAGTAGTGTTTTTCCGTTTAGAAGCTCTAAAACCGAAAACTCATAAGACTTCGGCCACACCCACAAATATTTGAGTAGCAATAAGAATTTTTGTTAGTGTTTTTGGAGTGAAATATGACTAGATCTCGTGTTTATGATAGGGTATAAGAACTAGAACCGCAACCGGATCCCAAAAGCTAAAGTAGTGTTTTTCCGTTTAGAAGCTCCAAAACCGAAAACTCATAGGACTTCGGCCACACCAACAAAGATTTGAGAAGCAATAAGAAGCTTGGTTAGTGTTCTTGGGTCAAATATGACTAGATCTCGTTTGTATGATTGAGTATAAGATCTAAAACCGCAATCGGATCCCTTAAGTTAAAGTAGTGTTTCCATTTAGAAGCTCCAAAACCGAAAACTCATAAGACTTCAGCCACACCCACAAATATTTGAGAAGCAATAAGAAGGTTCGTTAGTGTTTTTGGAGTGAAATATGACTAGATCTCGTGTTTATGATTGGCTATAGGAACTAGAACCGCAACCGGATCCCAAAAGCTAAAGTAGTGTTTTTCCGTTTAGAAGCTCTAAAACCGAAAACCCATAGGACTTCGACCACACCCACAAAGATTTGAGAAGAAATAAGAAGCTTGGTTCGTGTTTTTGGAGTCAAATATGACTTGATCTCGTGTTTATGATTGGGTAAGAACTAGAACAGCAACCGGATCCCAAAAGCTAAAGTAGTGTTTTTCCCTTTAGAAGCTCCAAAACCGAAAACTCATAAAACTTTGGCCACACCCACAAAGATTTGAGAAGC